GCTCTTTCTCCCAAAAATATAGTATGGCTTCACGTGCAAATCCTGGAAACATGCGCCCAAATTCAAGGAAAGCTGTTTTTAACCATTTTCTCTAACTTTTCTTTGATCATGCATTTTGTATAGATTATGATTAAAAAGCTTATTAAGTGAATATGATGAATCAAAACAAGACATTTGATTAGTACATTCATTATTTATACTAATATTAAGCATGCACGTGAAATTGATAATATGGTTTTTATATATAACTATTTTTATATATATAATAAATTTTTAAAAACTTTAGCGATAATTTTTTATTACTATTTACATAGTGAAATTATACACCAATTAACAAAATAATTCACCAATTAGCAAGTTTTATTAATTTTCTATAATAGAGTTAGAAAAAATTTATATTTATGAAATGTCTGATAAAAGTTAAATTCATCATTTACAAGAACAAAAGAAGAAGAAGAAGAAGTGAACAGTGTTCATAACGTTAAAGAATGTTACTTTCAGTGGATAAAGGGCCAAAAATTCACTGTAGCATATAGAGCATGTTTAGGATTGAGAAATTACAGTGTAACATGAACAATATTTTTGGGAATCATTAATGCAGTGTGAACAAGATGACTAAGGTTGAAAATATTTCTATAGCATGAACAACAACGTAAATATTTTGAATCATACTATAGCAAGAAATAGTGTTAATGTAACATGAATACTAAGTTTGAGTTTTTGCTTTTAAGTTATAAGCAGTATATATGAGTAGTGATAACTAGACTGCAGATTGTTGTGCGCAGCGGAAATTTCGGCAGAGTTTCTGGTGCACAATAAGAGAGAAAGATCGATAAGAATTCTTGTTTTTCAAAGGGAACAAGAATCTGAAGCCTAATATCCCATCAAAGTGGGGTATTAGCTCTTCCTCTCGTCAGCTCTAGGACTGCGCGTCGAGGGATCCTAAAAACTATTACAATGGCCACAAACTCAAACAAATTAATTTTTACGTGGTTTGGCAAACTGCCTACGTCCACGGGGCAAGGAGGGGGTATATTTTGTGTGCACTAACTTTCATATGCAGATTTCAATATCAGAATATGTACAAGTGCAAGTGAATATCAAGGCATTTTGAAGTGAAGAAAATGAAGAACAAAAGATAATGTATTTGAATTTTTCTTTGCTTAGAATATTTGTACAAGCCTTGATCACACACACGCACACACACACATTTTTAGAATACACTAACACAGGCTTAGTGTGTTGGTTAACTATAGAAATCCCCTATGTTAACCATTAGAATAATAGTTAAAACTTAATTATAAAAACTCATTATTTCTGAATTTTTGATCTTAATAGTCGACTAATTAGGATAGTAGTCGATTACTCATGTATATAACTCAAATACAAGTTTCTGTCTTTTTACAGTATAGTCGACTAATAGAGATTATAGTCGACTACTGAGATGTTTGACAGAAACATAAGTTTCTGTCTTTTTACAGTGTAGTCGACTAATGACTACAGTAGTCGACTACTGAAGAAAAATATAAATTTTCAAGTTTCTGTCTGAACTCAGTGTAGTCGACTAATTATCATTATAGTCGACTACTGAGAACATTTTCCGAAAACACAGAGTCTGTCTGAACTCAGTGTAGTCGACTAATGACTACAGTAGTCGACTACAAGAGACAGTTTTTCAGTTTTCAGAATTTGAATATCTGACAGTTTTTGGCCGTTTTTAAACGTTTTCAAACTTTAAAAACTTGTCTTTTCAAGGGGTATATATAGGTTATTTGTTCAGAAAAATTGGAGAAATATACATACCCATAAGCTTTGATTCTTGAGCAATTTCCTAAGTGAAAAACATTCTGATTTTCTGAAAAAGAAGAGTTTCTGAAATTGCCTATATACTTTCATCAAAAACAAATCAATTAGGCAATTTTACAAAGATTAAAAGAATCCTAAGCCACTGCTGCACATTATTACACATTCAAGGCTTATAGGATCATTGTGTTCTTCTTCAACAAGTTTTCTCTCGGTTGTGAGAGGGTTAGTCTCTTGGGTTAGAGATTGGTGTTCAAATTGACAAGGAGTTTGTCAATTGGTGTTGCAATTTGCAGGAACTTGCAAATTGGTCAGGTTTGCATTTGATTTTGTAAGTTTATTCAAAATCATAGTGAAAACTCTCAAGCGGGATTTGCTTGGGGACTGGATGTACACCAGTTTGGTGGAACCAGTATAAAATCCTTGTGTTTGTGTTTGCAAATTTCTGAGATTGCCATTTTTTTCTTTGCAATTTATTATCTACTTTGCAATAATTTTAAAAGAACACTATTCACCCCCCCTCTAGTGTTCAAGTGTATCTATTTCAGATCCTACATTTGGTATCAGAGCAAGGTGAAAGATGGCATTGTCAAATACATCACAATTCAAGGAAGGTCACTCTACAAATCGTCCTCCAATGTTCGATGGCACGAACTACAACTACTGGAAGTGTAGGATGAAGATCTATCTCCAATCTCTTGGCTACGAACTTTGGAACGTCGTTGAAACAAAATATGAGAAACCAACAACTCCTTTCGCGGAATGGACTACATCTCAAAGGAACAATGCGAATTTGGATTCTAAAGCAATGAATGCCTTATTTTGTGCACTTGACAAGAATGAGTTCAATAGGGTGTCAACGGCCACATCCGCATATGATATTTGGCACACACTCGAGGTAACTCATGAAGGTACTACTAAAGTTAAAGAGTCTAAAATTTCTGTTCTTGTGCACAGATTTGAATTATTCAAGATGAAGGAAAATGAGACTATTGGAGAAATGTTCACAAGATTCACCGACATCACAAATTCTCTTATTGGTCTTGGAAAAACATATACTCAAGTGGAGATGGTAAGAAAGATACTTCGTTCACTTACTCCACAATGGGAAAAGAAAGTTACCGCTATTGAAGAAGCCAATGATTTGTCAACTCTTACGGTTGAAAATCTTATTGGTAATCTTATGGCATATGAAGTACAACTTGAAGATAGGAAGAATGATGAAGAATCTAAGAACAAGAAAGTTCTTGCATTTAATACTACTTCAGATAAAGAAGATTCAGATGATAATGATGAAGAAATGGGCATGTTTGCACGAAAATTTCGAAAATTCATCAAAAGAGGTAATTTTAAATTTAAGAATTCAAATTCAACTAACCCTCTTTGTTTTAAGTGTAATAAACCAGGGCATATGAAGAAAGATTGTCCAATGTTGAAGAATAAACAAAAATCAAGTTATTTCAACAACTTCAACAATATTCAAAATAACAAGAAGAGGAAAGCAATGGCGGTCACTTGGGATGATAGTGATGAATCATCCTCAGATGAAGAAATTGAAGAAAAGGAAAGTGCTCACATGTGTTTCATGGCACAAGATGATGTAAGTGAAAATGAAGAGCTTTTAGATGCTTTTAATGAATTATATGAAACTTTTATAAGATTAAAAATTTCACATAATTTTCTTAAAGGTGAGAATAAAAGGTTACGTGAAGAAATTTCAGATTTAAATTCCTCTACTTATACTAATTCTCAATTAGTTGAATTAAAAGAAGAAAATTTTTCTTTACTAAAAGAAAATGATAATTTATCTAATGAAAATAAATATTTAAAATCAGAATGTAATAAGTTAAATATTCGAATTAATAGTTTAGATAAAGATATTTCTTCTTTTAAATCAAGATATGAAGATATATGTTTAAATGTAAGCAAATTTAATAAAGGAAAAGAAAATCTTAATAATATTCTTTCTTTTCAAAGAGAATCACAAAAGACAAAAGGATTAGGTTTTCAAATTAATAAAAACAAATCAAAGAATACAATTTTTGTAAAACCTTCTTGTGATTTGCATGATTATAAATATGAAAATTTGTATAAAAAGAAATCAAAATTCTTTTCTATTTGGGTTCCAAAAGAATTATCTTCTTTTAATAAGAATTTTTATATTTCTGATTTTATTAAAAATATTTGTTTATCATCTAATTATTTAAGTAAATCAAACTCTTCATGGGTTTGGTTTCCTAAAGGCTAATTTAAAGGACCCAACATAGTATGGGTACCAAAATGTAAATGTTTATTTTTTCAGGTACCCA